TGAGGAAGTTTTTAGTACTATTTAACACTCTCTATAGTCCAGAGTAGCATAGAAATGCTTGCATTAAAGTTAATGATGTTTTCTTAAAAATCACAAATTCAAACTTCCATTGCAGAATAAGGGATTATACATATGTTTGATCTCTAAGACTTTGTACTATTATTATTGTAAGTTTAATGAGGAGTTTAAAAATTACAGTGAAGTTGAAATAAAAGCAATGTTTTATACACTTATTGTAATTTTATCTAAGCAAATACAAATTATTTTGAAAAAATCTTATTTTGTCTGTTACTGCCTACCTATGAGGGTATGGAAACTTAAATTGGTGCCATTTTGTCAGTAACACTTAGTAGTTTATCACATGAAAATCTTTAACACCAACTTCGTTCCACCCTGTATATAAGATAACATTTTATACATTGAAATGATCCTTCTGTTTCCATAAAATGTATATCAATAAAACTACTGTATTCTCGTAATCATAAAACTTAAGAATCTTGAGAGCAGAACCTGTACCTCTTAATCTCTGCTCGTTGAATTGTCAAATCAAAGTATTTACAACTGACTTCAATTAATATATTTAACTATTTACATTCTTCCAAAATGTAATTTTATTTAAATCGGTTCAGTGTTCAGGAAACATCATTGTCGTCATGCATGATTGCGGCAATTTGAAAACTCCCAGTAGAAATGCAATTTTCTGTATTATCTGTATATTTGGTTAAGTAAATTATTACATTAACAGGGTGTATACTATTTTATTAAAGTGAAATTCCAGGTTTTTCCAGGTCTTTTCCTGGTTTTTCGAAGTTTTTCCAGGTTCCCGCGTATTTGTTTGGTTCCACTTAAACTATAATCAATTTAAGACTTGCAGCTTAAGTATACAATATAAACTTACATCAAATTTGTTTCAAAGTCTAGTGAGCTAATGTTGAAAAAGTAATAATCCTTATTATAGTAATAATTTTCATTATCATCATTACTTAAGGCCACGGAAAAATTGTCTCTCTTGATAGCAGCAAAATCATGAATATTATCTTAATTTTTTTTGAACACATTATCAATGGCGGCAAAATCCTGAATATTTCCTGCGGTCGTGTGGTCGCTTCCCACAGTGACGTAAACGTCATCACAGTCTTACGTTATTATAGAAAATTCCTGGACATCTCCCGCCGTATGTATAAATTATCGCCGTCTCTCACGATCACGGAAACTTAATCATTGTCATCCACGATCACGGCAAAATCACGAAAATCCTCCGCGGCCGTGTGGACATCATCATTGTCTCCCACGGTCACTTAAACGTCATCGTCATCAACCGCGATCACGTTAAAATTACGAAAATGTTCCGAGGCCGTGTATTTACCATCATTGACTCCCGCGGTCGCGGGAACGTCATCTTTGTTGTGCGCGATCTCGGCAAAATCATGAATATTTCCCGCAACAGTGTAAACATCATTGTTGATCCCGCGGTCACGTAAACGTCATCGTCGTCGTCCGCGATCGCGGCAAGACATAAGACATATTTTATTTACACAATACGTTCTTTATAAAGTACATTTCATACATAAGAACAGGTGTTTTGTCATAGTGATGTATTTTATAGTAAAATTAATAGTTAAAATAATTAAAATAAACTCATGTAGGATATCAGAGAATTTTTATCTACATTATAGGGTTCTCCAATTCGTCAAGTGAATAGTAGGCTTTCTCAATTATTTTATATTTTATTTTATCTTTGAATTGAGTGGCATTTAAAGTTTTAAGATACAGGGGTAATTCATTGTACAATCTAAGTCCCATATATTGAGGGCTGTTCCTAAAAGTCGTCAATTTGTGATGTGGTAATCTGAAATTATATTTATTATTTATTATGTGTAAATTTGACTACATCTGACAAATTTTCCTTAGTGTTATGTATCCAATTTAGAATTTCATTTATCAGGGTGTCTAGTTTATTTCCATTATCAAATTTAAGACTAATTCCAGACTTTTCAAGACTAATTCCAGATTTTTCAAGACTAGTTTTTTCAACAATAAGTGGGTGTTGATACCAAAATGTATCGATTCTAGATTCTTGATACCGATACCAATTTTTATAGCTTAACCAAATTCTCTAAATAATACTACACCAACCCCTGTCTTTGTCATAAAGTAGTACCTATTATAATAATGTGGTGTTTTCAAGTAAAGAAATAATGCAGCAATAAAAAATTCTAACTAGCAAATTTGGTTTTTTTGATCATGAAATCTTCCGCGTCGCGGCAAAATCATTAACATTTCCCGCGGCTGTTTCGACATCACCGTAGTCTCCCGCGGTCACGGAAACGTCATCGTCGTCGTCCGCGATCGCGACAAAATCATGAACATTTCCCGCGGCCGAGCAGATATCATCGTCGTCTCCCGCGGTGACGGAAACGTCATCGTCATCTCCCGCGGTCACGGAAACGTCATCGTCATCTCCCGCGGTAACGGAAACATCATCGTCAACTCCCGCGATCGCGACAAAATCATGAGCATTTCCCGCGGCCGAGCAGATATCATCGTCGTCTCCCGCGGTCACGGAAACGACATAGCCATCGTCCGCGATCGCGGCAAAATCGTGAACATTTCCGGCAGCTGTTTAGACATCACCATCATCTCCCGCGGTCACGGAAACGTTATCGTCGTCGTCCGCGATCACGGCAAAATCATGAACATCTCCCGCGGCCGTGTAGACATCATCGTCTTCCCCCGCGGTCACGGAAACGTCATCGTCATCTCCCGCGGTCACGGAAACGTCATCGTCGTCGTCCGCGATCGCGACAAAATCATGAACATTTCCCGCGGCCGAGCAGATATCATCGTCGTCTCCCACGGTCACGGAAACGTCATCGTCGTTTCCCGCGGTCACGGAAACGACATCGTCGTCGTCTGCGATCGCGGAAAAATCATGAACATTTCCCGCGGCCGAGCAGATATCATCGTCGTCTCCCACGGTCACGGAAACATCACCGTTATCTCCCGCGGTCACGGAAACGCCATCGTTGTCGTCCGCGATCGCAACAAAATCATGAACATTTCCCGCGGCCGAGCAGATATCATCGTCGTCTCCCGCGGTCACGGAAACGTCATCGTCGTCGTCCGCGATCGCGATAAAATCATGAACAGTTCCCGCAGCCGAGCAGATATCATCGTCGTCTCCCGCGGTCACGGAAACGTAATCGTCGTCTCCCGCGGTCACGGAAACGTCATCGTCGTCGTCCGCGATCGCGGCAAAATCATGAACGTTTCCCGCGGCTGTTTAGATATCACCGTCATCTCCCGCGGTCACGGAAACGTTATCGTCGTCGTCCGCGATCACGGCAAAATCATGAACATTTCCCGCGGCCGTGTAGACATCAATGTCGTCTCCCGCGGTCACGGAAAAATCATCGTCATCTCCCGCGGTTTCGGAAACGTCATCGTCGTCGTCCACTATCGCGGCAAAAAAAAAATCGTGAACATTTCTCGAGGCCGTGTAGACATCATCATCATTGGCTTTTGCGGTTACGTAAACGCAAGACGACGATCGCGGCAAAATCATGAAAATTCCCGACTTTGAAATCAAATTTAATACTTAATCCCGACTTTTCAAGACCATTTTGAAATTCAATACTAATTCCCGACTTTCCCGATTTTCCTGACTACTAGACACCCTGATTTATGTATAAAACGATTTTCATTCATGCAAAATCATGAACTTCTGCGGCCGTGTAGACATAATCATCGTCGTCTTTCGCGGTCACGGCAAATCACGAATATCTTCCGCGGCCGTGTAGACATCATCATAGCCTCCCGCAGTCACGGAAACGTCATCGTCCGCAATCTCGGCAAAATCATGAATATTTCCTGCGTCCGTGTAGACATCATCATTGTTTCCCGCGGTGACGGAAACGTCATTGTCGTCCACGATCTCGCCAAAATAATTAATATTTCCCGTGGCAGTGTAAACATCATCGTTGATCTCGCGGACACGGAAACGTCATCATCGTTTCCCGCGGTCACGGAAACATCATCGTCGACGGCCGCAATCACGGCAAAATCATGAGCATATCAAGCGGCCATGTAGAAATCATCATTGTCGTCTTTCGTGGTCACGGGAAATCATGAAAATCATCCGCGGCCGTGTAGACATCATCATTGCCTCTCGCAGTTATGGAAACGGCATCGCCGTCGTCCGCGATCTCGGCAAAATCATAAACATCTGCGGCTGTGTAAACATAATCATCGTCGTCTCTCGCGGTCACAGAAACGTCATCGCCGTCGTGCGCGATATCGGCAAAATCATAAACATCTGCGGCCGTGTAGACATAATCATCGTCGTCTCCCGCGGTCACGGAAACGTCATCGCCGTCGCCCGCGATCTCGGCAAAATCATGAATATTTCCCATGGCAGTGTATACATCATTGTTGATCCCGCGGTCACGTAAACGTCATCGCCGTCTCCCGCGGTCACGGATAAGTCATCGTCGTAGGTCGCAATCGCGGCAAAATCATGAGCATTTCACGCGGCCGTGTAGAAATCATTATTGTCATCTTTCGCGGTCACGGCAAATCATGAAAATCTTCCACAGCCGTGTAGACATCATCATTGACTCCAGCGGTTAGGAAAACGTAATCGACGAAGTACACGATCGCGGTAAAATCATGAATATTTACCGCAGCCATTTAAACATCATCGTCGTCTCCCACGGTCACGGAAACATCATCGTTGTCGCCCGCGATCTCGGCAAGACGCATTTTACAACTACAATCTTCTTCCGGGGCTAAAATAAAAATCCCGGAATCGGTCCAAAAATCCCGGCCTTTTCCCGGTTTTTTCCAGGTCCCTTCAAATTCATGGTTATTTCCCGGTTCTCCCGGTTGGTATACACCCTGATTAAAGTTGTCAGCAAAAATTAATTAGAAATCATCAATTTATTGTGTTGAAAGGCCAAGTATATACTGTAGCTAGTTCAAAATAAACAACCCACACATACCTCTAACCATGAAGGAATTCAAGAATTCCCTGCTGAATACTTTCTCAATGAATTCTTCAGCCCACACATCCATGATGCATAAATCCAAAACCACTTTTAGCCAAGGTAGTTCAGAGCGATCCTGGACACAATATTTAACATTAGTACACTTTGCATTTAGTTGATTATGTTGTTATATATTACAAAATTAATCACAAATTTACTACTCATAATTTAAATATAACTTGACCTTTAGCAGCGTACTTCTTAAAAATGTGAGCTTGTTTTGATGTTAAACAGTGTATTTTGGTACTTGTAATTTGGGTTGCATTAAAAAAACACCCTGTATATAATGCTATAAAGTGGACAGCTTATCCACAATAACCAGGACCATTAAGCCCACCTTTGCTTTACAACGGTAGTTAGGGGGGTTAGGGATGAGGTGCTTCCCACTTTTACAGAGATATATTGATTCATTTATGTAATGTTTAATCAATCACATGCCTTCCTGGGTGGTTAGGTTTTCCCTCTCCTAATTCTAACGGTCAATTACCATCACTGTCTGTTTATTTTACACATAGTCAAAACCCGCCATTGCTCCAAAAAGCACTTTTCCCAAAAGATTGCAAGGGCGAGGCACTATTCTGAAAGAACCTGTACAGTCAGGCTCTGCTCTAAAAGGCACTGCTTCAAAGGGCACTGTTTCCAAAATTAGTTTTGGACCAGTTATGCCTTTTGGAGTAGTGCCTGGAGTTAGGTAATTACAAAAAAAAAAAAACAATGGTATTTATTCACCCCACAAGTGGAACAACCAAAACAAAAGGTGTTCTAAAGCCACCAACAATTGGTTAGCCCTCAGGTTAACCGATTTATATTGATATGCTAAAAGTGTGTTACCTGAATGTTAACAATAATAGGAATAAAATTAGCTTGGACTTACAAAATTAATCAAATCTTCTAACACAACCTTACCATCAATCCCTGACAAGCTTTGACCACCAGAGGCTTGATGCGGTCCCAGTTGGATGGCTTGTAGTCTGCTACAGAGAAGCCACTGAGAAAGAAGATGAGTCCTGCTGCTCCATTCTGCTCTAGCAGCCACGGCTCCTTCTCTACCTTTACTGACATGTGTTGTAGCAGAGGTAGATGACAGTGGTTCTGGTCAAACAACAATACAAGTATTAACTACGGAGAAGCCACTAAGGAAGAAGATGAGTCCTGCTGCTCCATTCTGCTCTAGCAGCCATGGCTCCTTCTCTACCTTTGCTGCCCTTCCAATGTATTCAAGCCAAATGTAGGCGTGGTTAATAATGAAGATGAAATAATAGAGTTCTTGGACTCTCTACTTCAACTTGACTTTCCTCTGGAGAAGTTCAGACCTACAGAAATTAATGCAACCATTGATAAATTGCTAAATCCGAAAAAATCTCCTGGTTCCGATTCTATCACTGGGAAAATGTTAAAAGAACTGCCGAAGAAAGGAATTATTTTAATTGCATTTCTCTTTAATTGTATATTGAGACTATACCACATACCAAATCAATTTAAGAAACCATGAAAACCTTCTCATGAAATCACTTCCTACAGACCTATAAGTTTCTTACCTATAGTGTTTAACTTGTTTGAGAAATTGTTCCTCAAAAGACTACATACAATTCGAAACTGTTTGGAAAACAAACAATTTTGTTCGGCTGCTTTCCTTGACGTCAGTCAGGCATTTGACAAAGTATGGCACTCTGGCTTACTATTCAAAATTAAGAAGTTACAACCCCATTCAGTTTTTCCTATTTTAAAATCATATCTTGCCAACAGAACTGTCTAAATTAAACATCAAAATTACTTAACTGACCTTTACCCTATAGAATCAGGAATCCCCCAAGGAAGCGTACTTGGACCATACTTGTATATTCTCGGACCTACCAGAAAGTGTAAACACTATGGTTGCCACATTTGCGGATGACACGGCGATTTTATCTGTCCACGACAATCTAGCTCAAGCTACAGCAAATTTACAGCTAAACTTGGATAAAATTTCACATTGGTTTTAAAACATGGAGGTTCAAAATTAATGAAAATAAATCAGCACACATTACTTTTACCCTAAATCAGGCTACATGTCCTCCAGTATCCATGTAACAGAAATAAAATACTTGGGCATGCACTTAGATGCAAAGCTTAATTGGAAGGCACATATCTGGACTAAAAGACGTCTAAATTTAAAAACAACTAAACTTGATTGGCTTCTTGCATCTAAATTAAAACTTAGTACACAAAATAAATTGTTACTGTACAAAACAGGCTTGACATGTAGACAGTAGCCAGGTAATTTAAACCTTAATAGTGTACAAAACAGTTCTAAAACCAATTTGGACTTATGGGATTCAGCTTTGGGGATCAGCAAGTACCTCAAACATTGGGATTAATTATTCAACGCTACCAATCAAAATTAATTGACAATGCGCCTTGGTTTGTTACCAAAACAGAATACTTCATAATGATCTTAAAATTTGAACAGTAAAAGAAGAAATTACTGAATCTAGTGAAAAGTACAAAATACAGTATCAATTGGAAAATCGTTCAAATAATCTTGCACTTAATTTATTGGACAATCACAACACCATTTACAGACTGAAGCAACATACGATATTGGACCTTCCATTCTGATTTTGGCTAAGTGTTATCAAAAAACTATCTTTGTTAGCTAGTGTTGGCAGTGGTCAATACTAGCTCATGTTCTTCAAGTTAACTTTTAATGTTGTAAGTTATTTCACTTGCTTATTTTTCAACTTTTGAACAGATTGTAAATTAAATAAAGTAAAAAAAAAAATTAATTTATATAGCCTAATATCTATTTCAGGACATGAATAAAAATAATTTATGACTTTAAAATCTTGGATCCAAGTCCAAGTGGTTGCTACCTAACATGAAAAATGAATTTGTTCCTTTTCAGATGAGTAACGTGAATTCCTTGTATGATTGGCTTTGCATATTTTCAGCCTGGTAAAGATTTACAAAGTATATCTCAAGAGTACTTACGGTGAATTTACTAAGTATGACCATTTTTAACTTCAAGATTAGTGCTTTAAGTACTCTAGATGATAAATATAAGCAATTAGAGTTAAATCTTAAATCCATGGTGTAAATCAATTTGATCTTTTATTGAGTCTTAACCAGGTATAATTTATCAAAACAGGGCCGTAACAAGGTAAGGTTGGGTCCTTGGTGAAACTAAGAAATTAGCACCCCTTGCTTACCGATGAATTGGTTTGGGTGTTGAGGGGGGGGGTGGAATACCCAGGTTGAGGTAGTAAGTTATCATCAGAACTCCAAAAGGTTACTGTGAAGTGTGATGCCTCATCATTTTTTCGTCAAACGATTACGAAATATAATTGCTATCCAAGAATTGCAGGAGACATCTGTTTTTGGTTCATCGCTATCGTCAATGGAAGATTTCAACACAGTCTCTAGTGTCACCTCGCCTCTGAGTGAGCAACCCTTGTCAAGCCAGTCCCCGACCATCGAGACCAGCAGGCCTAGTGAGCAGCAGACCAGTCCACCACCTCATCTAGTACCTGGCCATTGCAGTTACGCAGAATGTGTCTCCCTCAACACTAGTGCAGATGTCAGTGTCAGTGAAAAGCAGAGTAAAAGTGATGTGTCTGTGAGTGAAGTCAGTTCAGGAGTGATTTCAGGTAACATGGTTGTTCCTTCCTCTTCTTTTTTATCAATAATACAAAAAATCCCAAAGAATGTATAGCCTTAACTAAGAATGTGTACAGCTCTTCACAACACCGTTTTCGGAACTTCTCAAGCCACAAACCTAAACCAAACTTTGACTCCTCCAAAAACAAAATAACAATATTTCACCAAAATATAGAACATCTGGAATCTCGTAAAAATGGATTAGAAATTATTATTGACGAAATAAATCCACACTTATTAGTAATAACAGAGCATAATATGAAGGATTATGAAATTCAAAAATTCAATATTGATGGTTACACTCTTAAACATTATTTTTGTAGAAGCAATTTTACAAAAGGAGGTGTGGCATTGATGGCTAAAAATAATTTAAATAATCTAAAAATTAAGAAAATTTCAACCTCTATAATACAGGAAACATGTGAGGAGAAGGTTTTTTGAGTGTTGTGCGGTGAAGTGCTGTACCAACAATTATCAGTTTGTACTATTAGGAGTTAATCGTTCCCCAAGCGCAAGCAGTAAACTATTTTTAGATAAACTTAGTTTTGTGATTGACAGGCTCTTAGGAATTTGTAAAAATATAATTGTAGCTGGGGACATTAATATAAATGTATTGGATGAAAACCACACATATAAACAGTTTTCAAACATGCTAAAAAGCCACAGCATGACATATTTGGTGGACTTTCCCACAAGAGTTGTTAAAAATTCCAAATCCTCTATTGATAATTTTTTAACTAATATTACTGATGTACAGATGTATGTATATGGTTTAATTACTTGTTTGTCAGACCATGATGGTCAGGTACTTGAGATGAATATTACCCTTGATCATAAAAAAAAAAATCCATAGTAAAAACTTGTAGAAATCTTGGCCAAGAAAACATCAATTTGTTTAAATCAAAACTAAAAGATGAGAATTGGATGGAAATTTACATGTCTCCTATAAGTTCCATCAGAAATTTTTTTATTATTTTAATGAGTGTTTTCCACAAATTACTGTTAGAACAGGCTCCAAAAAGAATTGCTGGATGAATACTAGGTTAAGAGAAGAGAGGGAAACTATTGTTAGGGTAAGTAAGTGTGCAAGAAATCAAGACAAAGAGTGCAAAGAGCTTAAAATTCGTTAAAGAAAATTTATATTTGATCTTTTCAAAACAAAAAAAGAATATTATAACAAAAAATTAAACATTCATCAAACATTTCAAAAACAACATGGTCAATTATTAACAAGGAAGTCTTTAACGGCAAAAAACAAAAAGCACAGGAAAATATGTCATTAAAAGTTAACAACAAGATAGTTAACAATCCAAAAGAAATAACAAATAATTTTAACTCATTTTTTACAAAATCCTCAACGTTACATACAAAATTTTGTAATACTACATCAGACACCTCTTCAAAAAATATATGGTATACAAAATTGTATTTCGAACCAGTAACTGATACCGAAATAATAACTATTATACAATCTTTAAAAAATAAAACAACATCTGGCTATGACAATTTATCAGTAAAAATGTTAAAAGAGGTGAAAGATGAGACTAAATTAATTTTAATGCACCTAATTAACTCATCATTTGTAACAGGAATTTTTCCAAATGAGCTTAAAATTGCTAGAGTGGTACCTGTTTATAAGAAAAACTCTAAGAAAGATATTTCAAACTTCAGGCCAGTGTCAATTCTCCCGGCAATATCAAAGGTATATGAGAAGGCAGTGTACAACAGGTTAAACAGTTTCTTGAACCAGTGTGATCTAATTGATAATGAACAACATGGTTTCCGTGCTGGTAGATCGACAGTTACATCTGTGACGGGTCGATTATATCGGTTAGTAAATAAATAATTAAATTTGTATATTAAAGCTAAACATTATAGAATGGATTCAATGGTAGGACAACTTCGTGTGAATCCGTCAGTATTCGGAAAATCAATACGCGTGCGCTCTTGACTTCGGAACCTATCAGAAAGCAGATATGCTCCGGGTACGAGGCTAGAGGGATCTTCAGCGAGGGGATACCGTAGCGAAAGGACGTGTTTTGTTTAAGTCCATATTTCTTAAAACATAAAGACATCATTTGTACCTTCCACCGTGATATAGCTACCTCCAAATGTATTTAATGTTAAAGAGAAGTGACCCGGATATCTACAACCGTTAACTTATCAAAACGAAATAGACTTAAAGTCAAGTTGGTGAAGCGGGTGACTGTGAATAGCAAAACGCCGGTCTTCGCATCATGGTGGGAAAATGGCGATGGCAGATCCTTGTCAACGAACGGTGACGACGCCGTGGCTAAACCTAACCTACGCAGTCGCAGGAGTGCTGACGACCGAATCCAGGATTAGACCTCGTCCGGCTACGTTCATCTCATTACTACACTACTACACCAGATAAGATTTAAAAATTAATTAGGCCATATTACATAACTTATTATAAGTTAGGCTAGTTGATCTAA